ACCAGAGACTATGCTTGACTATGGATCAGGACTAGGAACAGCAGTATGGTAAGAAATAGGGAGAGAGGGAGGGAGAGAGAGAGGGAGGGAAAGAGAGGGAGGGAAAGAGAGGGAGAGGGAGGGAGGGAGGGAGGGAGGGAGAGGGAGGGAGAGGGAGAGAGAGGGAGGGAGGGATTTGGGAGGGAGGGAAGGGAATGTACGTGTTCATGTATTAAAGTTTCTCTTAATAACTGGTACTACATGTGCATGTACATTTTATGGTTTTTATTCTTAGTAGATATTGCAGGTATTAATATCTGTCACTAGTAAATTATTATTCTTTACAATTATAAAAATAGTTACATCATTATGTACAGTACATCTATTAGTAATTGAAATTTTATTCCAATAGCACAGTTAGTACCTGACTACCTCTAATGTAGCTTCATCCATTGTATATGTACATGTACATGTATATTTACTTTTAATATTTTCATTATCTCATATTGTATCTATACAGGGCAGTACATTCAATATGGGGGAACAGTGTGTATGAGTATCAAACTATTGATACTTCTTCTGATATGGGAGACCTAGCAAGATCATTAAGAAATGGTACTATACACCACCTCTTACATACTCTCACTGTAATATACTGCTATACTGTAGTAACACTATACTGATACTATAGTACAGGGACTTTTGGAACAACTTTAAAAATTTGTAAAAAATCAAAATTTGATTGGAATCAGCTCAAACTTTCTACGTAACATAAGAACATGTATATGTATTAGGAAAAATTATAAAAATGGAGAATTCTCTACTTTTTATTTTTGGCAAAATTTGGCCTGTGACCCTGTACTATAGTACAGGGACTTTTGTCCGATTTTGGAGCAATTTTTAAAATTCATAAAAAATCTAATTTTGATTGGAATCAGCTCAAATTTTCTACACAACATAAGTACATGTATATGTATCAGGAAATGTAATAAAAATGGAGAATTCTCTACTTTTCATTTTTGGTGAAATTTAGCAAAAGTCCCTGTACTTTGGTCTGATTTTTGAGCAACTTTGAAAATTCATAAAAAAATCCAATTTTGATCGGAATCAGTTCAAACTTGAAACATAACATAAGAACATGTGTATGCATTAGGAAAAATTATAAAAATGGAGAATTTTCTCATTTTCATTTTTGGCAAAATTTTGCCTATGACCCTGCAGGGACTTTGGCCCAATTTTTGAGCAATAATAAAAGTCATTGGTTTTGTTATCTCTCTCTGCAGGTGGTAGTGACTGGGCATACATTATAGATCCCTCTCTATCGGCCTGTCCCGCCCCCACATCCACTGAATCTATTAAAGGAGTCTACTTCAGACAATATCTCCCTGTGTCCAGCAAGGTTAATAATTAATATTCATTAATGGGTGGAGCTAAATAATAATTAACTTAATTTAGTATGTGGGTGGATAGATCTTGTTAGTTTGACTTTTGAAAATTTCATTTGGATGATTGACATTTTTATTACATGTACAATGCTAAAATTTTATTGAATACTGTATAGTGGGAAATTTTGGAGAGAGTTAAATTTGGCAAATTGCTAAATTTTAGTGATTGGTGAATTTTAATTTGGCAAATTTGTGGCCACGTGCCATTGAGTATGCGTATAATGACTCAAAATGGTGGATTTTAATTTTGACAAATGGCTATCAAAATTCCAAATTTGCCAATTTAATCCCCTCCGAAATTTCATGCTGTACGGTACATGCCCATACATGTACATGTATAATACATGTGTATTATAAATACATATATTAAATATTATATTTATTTATTTATTTTTATTATTTTTTAGGTAAAATATGATTTGGTTGTATCAGCTTATTCTCTTAGCGAGCTTCCCAGCCCGTCACTATGGAAACAGGCCCTCCTATCCTTATGGGGCAAGACCGAAAAGTACTTGGTGAGTGGACATGTTACCATAGTAACGGTATCATTGCCATGGTAACTGTATTGTCTCTAGGTGTTAATCGAGTTTGGTACCAGCTCGGGATTCGATATTATAAGTCAAGCAAGGGACTTTCTATTAAATGTAATGTAATTAATTAAATTTTGTTTTATTTATTTATTATTTTAGGGCGGAAATAACGATCAGGACAAGTGTCATGTTGTAGCACCTGTAAGGAACTGTAGTTCAGTATATTATTAGTATATTATTAGTATACTATTGTTGAAATTACTCCTTACATTTTCTGATGCATATTGATGTCCTTATGCTATATAGAAAGTTTGAGCTGATTCCGACTAAAAGTTTTTGAGTTATGACCATTTAAAAAAAGAAAAAATACCCTGTACTATAGCCCATGCTTTTTCCGAAAAAATGGCTCCAAAATCACCCCCAATTTTTATTAAACTTGATGTCCTGTGCAATATTATTATCAGTATATTTCAGTATATTACTAGTATATCTATCATACATTGTAGTGCCCTCATGATCTACAGTGTCCTAAGGCAGCTGCTGCTGATTATTATAGAATTTGTAAATTTGCTCAGAGAGTGGCCATACCTTTCACAGAAGTAAATCAATAATAGTTAATTATTTTAAATTTATTTTATGTATTATTTTTTATCTCTCCCCCTCTCTCTCTTTAGTATACTAGGTGTCGTTCAAAAGGTTTTTACATTGAGAACTTCTGTTATTTAATATTAAAGAAAGGAGAGAGACCACATCAATTCATTGATGATATTCCGTGTCGTCTTTTATTGCCGACGAAGAAAAGAACTAAACACACAATATGTGAACTGTGTTGTCCTAATGGTGAGAGAAGGGAGGGAGAGGGAGGAAGGAATCGAAATCTCTTCTAAGTAGGCAATAAGTTTCACTTAAAATTTAGTAATTTTCACCTCGAAGTGGGTGACAATTTTGACTAAAATCTATTTTGTATGATGGTCAGAAGTGATATAGTTATTGTTGTTTTAATGATAGTGATACATGTACCATATTTGCTCAATTAAATGCCCGGGCGTTTATTTCTTAACAGGAAAAAAATCAGGTAAAAAAAGCCTCTAGAGGAATCAAACCCACAACCTTCAAGCATTCCAAACTGTACTCCAACAGTTAGGCTATCTGGCACAATCTAAATCTTTAAGGCCCCCATACACTAGGCAACATGTTGCTTGCAACATCTGTGGTTACTTTGATGTTGTAAGCAACATGTTGCCAGAAATAGAACAGCCTTCTATTTCTGGCAACATGTTGCTTACAAGATCAAAGTAACCAAATGTTGCTACCAACATGTTGCCTAGTGTATGCCTGGCTTTAGGCACATATACTGGGTAAAATATGCGTATCTATAGTTAGAAAATATTTAGCATGGGCGTTTATTTAAGCAGGGCATTTATTCGAGCAAATACGGTACATATTTATGCAATTTATACATTACATATACATGTATTTTAATAATAGGTAAAGCTGTTACACTTATCTTCAGTAAAGCAAAGCAAAGGTAATATAATATTTTTAAAAATCATTTTTATATATTCTTCTACCTATTTCTAGAGAATTATTGAGGACTACTCGTAAGAAGGAATGGGGAGATACTGTCATCGTACCACAAGAACTGTATGATAGACAAACTAATGATGTTAATGATGATGATAATTGGAACAATATTGATGTGTATGATGATGATGATTAAGATGATTGTTGTAATTGAATCTAAAATAACAACAGTTGTGAACCTGCCACTATAAAGCTTGCCTATCATTGAATTTTTGGAATACCCATAACATGTTATTCCTATAACATGTTATAAAACATGAATAAATTTCATGATTTTATAAATTTATTTTATGGCCATGTTTTTTTATATGATGAAATGATTAAAGTCAAATAGAGGCACAATATGAGAGCACTGATGAATATAATTTGTGACCATAATTGACAAAAGGGCCCTTATGGCGGATTTTAAAATTGATAGTTATAATGGAAAATATCAACCTGTGAGTGCTTTGTTAGACAATCATTGTTTCTAAAAGTTTCATGGTAACTTTTTGCATCCTGTGGAGTAATTTTATGATAACTGGGGCTCAGGAAGTTGGATTTCTTAGGCTAGAAAGACAAATTTCACTACCCGCCATAAGGTACCTTTTGTCAATTATGGTCACATTTGCCATTATTAAAATATAACAAAATTATTTTGAAAATTTATAGCATTAAACAGCAAAAATAGATTAGCAAATAAGTTTAATTCTTAATACACTGTTCACGATATTTTCTCAACGCTTCTTCAAATGTCTTACATAAAGATGGTTCCATGATTCTTTCTGAAAAAAATAAGCGTCTAAGATTAAGCTGTGTTGCTAAATCCATAATACCAGTTTTGCAGAAGCAAGCAAACATTTCACAATTATTATCCTTAAGATGATAGTTCCCCCACTCTGCTGGATGATTAAGAAAATGTTTAGCTAACTTAACTGTTTCTGAAGGAGGCATTGCCTTTACTATGTGAATAGCACTATTATAAAAAGCAAAACCCTTTTTCAATACACTGCTACCATATGACACCAAACGAAGTGTATTTCTATTCATAAACTTAGCTAGGGTAGTTGACCTTATGCAAACTGGGCGATTGTGGCTTTTGTGTATTTCATCTAACTGTTGCTTGATTTCTTGAGCCCTTTCTGAATCTTCTGGTAATTGTTCAAGCTCCAGTGACAATGCAGTCACTAGCCTCATTGTTTCATCATCTTGCTGGCCTATCTTCTTGCCTAGTGATCCACTGTCATCGCCACCGAAATGAATCACCTCACAATCAAGCTCACCAATGTAAATACCATGATGACTATATGTATCAATTAGTCTGTGGCAATAGATCTGATCCCCAGGTTTGAGATCTTTTTCATTAATTGAATGAAATACATACCCAACTCTGCTTGCTGAATCATCTGCCTCTGCCATTACTCGACTACTAGCCAGACTGGACCCCTATAGAATAGGGAAGATCCCAACATTACATTACTAAATTAAAGTACATACTATCTATAAAGTGATAGTAGCCTAGGAACTAAGAATCAGTGAATCACAATTAACCTTGCAAAACTAACCAGAGTTTTGAATTTTGAAATTGATCTTGATCCACCCACTAGTAAGTTGTGACAGTAGGCACGAGTGGGTGGATCATAAGAGCCTTGATCTTGAGTGCTAACAGTTAGCAGCAAGCATTTCACAATTGCAATTGAGACATAGTTATCCAGATCTCTTCTGAAGGATGCATTGCCTTTAGGCATTATCAACAATAGGCTCAATAGCACTACTCCTTTTGATCATACCATGAAAAACTATCTCATTTATTACCATGTAGGGTATATTATATATTATCAAAATTATTATTACAAGCAATAATTATTACCTTAATATATCCCGACCTATGGTATTATAGTCTAGATAGTCAACATTAGAAGAACACAGTGCTGGCATTGATATCCTACCATCCCTAGTCATATATATACCATAGTCATTACGTAGGGCATCAACCTGGAGAAGATAGAGAAAAAACAATTATTAATATTGTTATTATGATAATGTATTTTTAATTGCAGCAATTATTGAGTTGGGAAAATTAAAAAATCTTTTCCTGTCTGACTTGTTCACACCTCAAGTGTTATTTCAAAGTGATAACAAGATTGTGAATTTATACCTTTTCAGCTGATAGTCCACTGAAGCATCATACCAATTTGTTTAGTGACATGAGACCAGAACCTACAATATGTCAATATCATGTAATAAAGAGAATTTAGGTAATTATCAAGAATTACTTTTTATTATCCATCTTCTCTCTCTCTTTCTCTCCATAAGTATATTATTATTCATTATGTACCATGTTTAGCTAGTGCATCTTTCAGTGATGTTCTCATGCTAGTGATACGGTCAGCCATACTCTTCATTTCAACCAACCTATGGAGATTCAAGAAATCAAATACATTAGACTATTGTACACAAATGGCTGCATAAAACCGCACATTAGGTAGAGAGTAAAAATTGAGAAATTGCTTTTAAATAAAAATTGGGTTCTAAACATCAAAATTTTAAATAAAACCCATTTGTTCCATTGGTACAAAAATTTGTGACAAGCAAAAACCTATTATTTATAGTTCTATTGTCACAAAATTATACTATTCATTCACTAAATAACTGATCCTTAGGCTTCAGATTCTTCTCATCAATTGCATGAGATACATATCCAACTCTCACTACATCAATATTTTGCATGAGACCATTAATGATTATTAGGTGAGAAGATGCTCAATGATTTGTCAATCAAGTGTCTGATAAAAAGAGCAAGCCAAATAAGAAGTGGGTTGTAACCTGACTGGGCACAATACTCAGTACATATTTCTAGCATTTACAAACATCAGTTGATCCAATAGCATAACTCAAGGTGATACTAGTATACATGCCATTTCTCTCTCTTTTTCACATTTTTCCAGTACATGAGTATGCATTTCTAACAGTGACATACTATCAACAGTTGAGCCAACACATCATGCACATTATCACATGGTTATATGATATTCATGTTGTATGAGAAAAATTAATACTAACATTTATCATGCATGCAACAAATTTCAATCACTGTTGTATAATTATTAATATATCTACATGTGTGCAAATAACTGAATTGATTACTGCTGTGGCCCAAGTAGTGAAAGAATAATTGGACTGATTTATATAAAGAAGTAAATAAATGAACAAAAAGAACTAATATACTAATAAATGAATGATAAATGCATGTAGTTTTTCAGGAAAAAAATAAAAAAATTTAATTATATCAATCAGCATAGTAATAATAAGAACAGCAGCAACAAGTATAATGTTATAATACTAAAAATAGCTGTAAATAATCACAGCACTCATAATCCTATTTAATACAGCATTTATTTAAATGATAGAAACAATTTGTATCATTTAGTACTATTTTTTAAATAATATTCTTTCAGTGCAGCCAGTGCCTCAGCTTCATTCTTACAGGGCTTTTTTCTCCTTTCTTTTGCTAAAGTTCGATGTGGGTGAAGTTGTGTTGCTATATCCATTCGACCAGTTTTACAGAAACAAGCAAATGTTTCACAATTGTTTCTTACAAGGTTGTACTTCTTCCATAATTTTTTTGGGTTCCTACAAATATGTTTTGCCAAATTAGCTGTTTTTTTTACAAGGCATTGCTTTTATTTTGTGATAACTTGCCCTGCAAAATGATTTTTTCAATTTATTATATCTACGTTTATAGTTATATCTGACATAGCAAAGTTGAGAAGATTTCAAAAAATTAATTAAAGTGGTGGACCGTATGCTGCGCTGACTTGAGGGACTATGTCCTTCTTGTAGATCCACTAATTTACCTAGTTCTGGAATGATTTTATTAGCCTTTTTCAAATTGATTGGATGTAAATCATTATACGTTTCTTTGAGTTTCTCAGCTTTTTTCTGATCTTCCTGTTTCAGTTCTCCTGTAGCACCATCCGGTCCACTAAAGTGAATCACCTCACAATCAGGCTCACCAATATAGATACCATGGTGGGTGTAAAAGCCATTCCTTCTTTGACAGTAGATGTGATCACCTTCTTTGAGCTTCTTCTTGTCAATTACATTAAACCCCCTGCGATCCCAATCTATCTCTTCACTAGCCATTTTTGCACTATGGTTATAAGGTTATAATATTTCTTTGTATGTAGTAACCAGCAGTGACTGACTGACCATAGACACTGAATCAAATAACTATTTCAGTGATCACTTATCCACAATAAAGAAAGAAGGACTTTATAAAAGGAAGAAGAGAAAACAAACAATGAAGGAGCAAGCAGCAAGTCAGCTAGAGCAAGGCTACATGTCCCAGTGTATGAAGGATGGGTGTATCAGTGTATGTGTGTGGTATATAGGACCTAATGAAAATAGTTACTGGAACACACCAATAACAATGAATATCATAAAAAAGAGAGTGCATGAATAGTTTGAATACTGATGTTGTGTACAGATTTAGATTATTAAGATTTTAACTTATTGATAATTTGTTACTACTGCACCATTGTGCTAGCCTTGGCTATAATACAATAAGCCTAGCAACAGAAACATTAATATTGCTGCAAGTTTTAATCTCAACAGTTTGAACTACAAAACTTTTTTACAGTTCTACTCCTCTCTGTTTCTATTCTCTTTATTTATGAGAGTACAATTTTTATTCATGATCTCCAGGTTTAAGATCCTTCTCCTCTACTAAAATGGATGAAGTATCCAACTCTGCTTTCTCAATCATCTGCTCTATAGTTGCTATTATCAAGAAAAAATGAATACCTACTGAGATCAGCAAATCATTCAAATGGGTGAGTCAAGTAATTGCATGTTATGCTCTAGTTATAAAATCACACCATACAACGAATAATATTGAAATTGATTATATCATTGTAAACATTAATGATGATTACCATAATGAAATTAAAACATAATCGTACACTTGATTAACAATGCAGCCTACTACTCTTATAGCTGGATTTTATAGCAAGAGATGGTTAATGTAATGAATGCAGATATATATCAACTATAATGATAAAATAGTACAATACTTTATTGTTTCTTTTTAAGTTCATCAAACAGCTCTCTAAAAAAATGCTCCAATGTATACTAATGTTCACACAGCAGTGCATTGAGTTTTGTAGCTGCATCAAGGTTTCTCACGGTATTTTTCCAGTGCTTTTTCAAATGTTTTACAGGGTTCTTTATCCTTTTCAGTAAACATGCTTCTCTCAAACTGATAAAACTGTGCTGCTATATCCAACAGGCCTGTTTTGCAGAAGCAAGCAAACGTTTCACTGTTGTTATGTTTGAGGTGATATTCCTCCCACTCCTCTGGATGATCACGAAAATGTTTTGCCAACTTAACCGTTTCTGAAGGAGGCATTGCCTTTATGCAGTGAGTACTAATCATGGCTGCTGCAAAGAATTGTTTGGTTCCACTGCAGCCATATGCAACTAAGCGAAGTGTAGAGCCATACTAAAATTCAGCCAGAGTAGTTGAATTGATGCGTGATGCACCACTAAAGTGAACCACCTCACAATCAGGTTCACCAATATAAATACCATGATGAGTGTAGATGTTTCTATAGCAATAAACCTGATCACCAGGTTTAAGATGCTCTTTATCAATTGCATGAGACATTACCCCAACTCTGATTGCTGAATCATCTTCTACCTCTAAAAGAAAAAGAGAATGAAATACTCAATAAAAACATAAAGGAGTGAATGATAGTACTTGTATTAGTTTTGTGTAGGGTGCACCCTCACTTTCTCTTTCCCTCCCCTTTAAATTTAGTATTTCTTCACTGAGTAATAAGGACAAAGAGAGGGAATGAAGCAAGCTCCTTTATAATGCGCTAAATTAAGGCAAATGGAATGGATTGGAACCATAAAGTTGAGAGTAGATCAATGATCCATCAGTCATATTGATTAAAGATAGGATGTAAGAGTAAATTTATGGAATAGATTTAATGGACCAAAATGACTAAGTAAGGTATGTGTGGGATGCTTTTATAGCATGGCAATTTCTCAGAATATTGATTTTTCAATGAAGTGGCCTAATCATTATTCAGTTTACTTCTACCATTAAAAAGCACTGCTAATACTAGTGCCATCATAGCTAGATATTTTAAATTTTTTTGGCCCTACTAGGCTACTAGCAAAGCATTCTGTGTTCACAAAAATTAGCAATGCTGTTTTAGGCCATGTTTAAATTTTTAAAGATAATAATACTATACTATAAAATTAGTTTTGACTTACCATATTTTTCCAATGCTTCTTCAGCTGTCTGGCATGTTGGCTCCATCTTCCATTCAGTAAACACATTTCTCACAAGTTGGTAAAGCTGTGCTGCTAAATCCAATCGGCCTGTTTTGCAGAATGTCGCAAATGTTTCACAGTTGTTATATTGAAGGTGATACTCATTCCATTTCTCCGGATGATCATGAAATGTTTGGCTAACTTAACCGTTTCAGAAGGAGGCATTGCCTTCACATAGTGGCTACTAACCACGGCAAAAAAATTTTTGGTTCCACTGCAGCTGTATGCAACTAAGCGAAGGGTAGAGCCATTCTGAAAATTAGCAAGAGTAGTTGATTTAATGCTAATTTTTAATTTCTTCTCAATTTCTTTAGCTTTTTCGGAATCTTTTGGTAATGAGTCTGGTATACCACTGAAGTGAATCACCTCACAGTCAGGCTCACCAACATAAATGCCATGATGACTGTAGAAAAATAAGGCACTTCTATGACAGTAAATATGGTCACCAGGTTTGAGATCTTTCACATCAATTGCATGAGAAAACGCCCCATAATAGTCAAGTCTTGAAGTTTCATCTGGTGTTTCCATTAATTATTCAGTGCTGTTATACCAAAAATGTTAAAGGAAAGGCACTATTTAGAAATTATACTTACTTAATAAAAAGCAAACTCAAAAGCAACTCAGTACAAAGGATGAACTTGGGTTTAGCCTGTCCACAACTGAAAGTTTGGAACAGCTAGGAGTTGACCAAAATTGTTAACATCCAAATAATTTGAAAAAATGTACTACGTCAAAATGACGTAATCTATTAATGAATATTATAATGATAATGATATTCATAGAGCTATGTTTATGCTGGCTACTGAAGTCAAGTAGTCTTCAATAAAGGCCATCATTATCATTACACTGGCATTTCCTTTTGTATCAATTAATTTCAAGAAGCACTATACAACAAATTTCAATTACTATTGTAAAATATACTAGTCGGCAGCTGAAGTAGCTAATAATAAATGTTCATTCATTCATTATTATTATTATTGTATTTATTTAGTTATTTCATGAATAGCTTTAGCAACATAGTCAACATTAGAAGAGCACAGTGCTGGCATTGATATCCTACCATCCCTAGTCATATATATACCATAGTCATTACGTAGGGTATCAACCTGGAGGGAGAGAAAAAACAATTATTAATATTATTATGATAGTGTAATTTAAATTTGCAACAATTAAGCTAAAAAGTGGGGAAATTAAAAAATCCTTTCCTGTTTGACTTGTTAACACCTCAAGTGCTATTACAAGGTGAGAACAAGCTTGTCAAAAAATAGCAAGATTTTTTATACCTTTTCAGCTGAGAGTCCACTGAAGCAGAACATACCAATCTGTTTAGTGACATGAGACCAGTCCAGAGTTGAACCTACAGTATAGTAAAGAGAATTTAACAGCATATAATATCAAGAATTGCTTTTTATTATCCATTTTCTCTCTCTCTCCATTAGTATATTATTATTTATCATGTACCATGTTTAGCTAGTGCATCTTTCAGTGATGTTCTCATGCTAGTGATACGATCAGCCATATTCTTCATTTCAACCAACCTATGGAGATCAATGAATCAAATAAAACATTTTGTGGCTTCATAAAACCATACATTTGAATGAATAGATTATACATGTACATGTAGCTAGAGTGGAAAAACTGAAAAATTGCTTTTGAACAAAAATATATTGGGTTCTGAAAATCAAAATTTTGCCCATTAGTTCCAATGTCACAAAATCTGTGACAAGGAAAAAACCCATTAGTTCCATTTTCACGAAATCCGTGACAAGCAAAAACCCATTAGTTCCATTGTCACAAAATCCGTGACAAGCAAAAAACCCATTAGTTTCATTGTCACAAAATCCGTGACAAGCAAAAACCCATTAGTTTCATTGTCACAAAATCCGTGACAAGCAAAAACCCATTAGTTCCATTGTCACAAAATCTGTGACAAGCAAAAACCCATTAGTTCCATTGTCACAAAATCTGTGACAAGCAAAAACCATTTAACCTAATATTAATAACAATTAATACACATTACCATTGTGATCTGTAGTTCTCATTGGTCAGTATCTCAGTAGCAATCCTAGCTCCATTGATTGGTGGGTTGGAGTACATTGGACGGACTATAATCTTTAGCTGTGACTCAAGTGCTGCCTTCTCTTCTGGTGTATCACACAATATGGTAACAGCACCAACTCTCTCACCTGTAAAGGAATGCATGGAGTATTACTGTATGTGTATACAAGTATTTGTATGTATTGTGTATGAATCAAGGATAGGTAGATGTAGTTATAGGTACATGTTCAATGTTCATAAAAATGGTCGTAACTTGAAAAGTTTAAGTCGGAATTAGCTCAAACTTTCTATACAGCATAAAGACATCAATATGTATTTGAAAATGTAATAAAAATTTGGGGTGATTTCGGAGCTATTTAAAAAAAACCATGGGCTATAGCCTTGGGTATTTTTCAGATTTTAGCCGATTTCTTAAAATGCCTGTAACTTGAAAAGTTTAAGACGGAATCAGCTCAAACTTTCTACACAGCATAAGGACATCAATATCTATCAGAAAATGTAATAAAAATTTCAGGTAATTTCGGAGCCATTTTTGAAAAAACCATGGACAGCCTTGGGTATTTTTTAGATTTTGGCCAATTTCTTAAAATGGCCGTAACTTGAAAAGTTTAAGACGGAATCAGCTCAAACTTTCTACACAGCCTAAGGACATCAATATGTATCAGAAAATGTAATAAAAGTTTGGGGTGATTTCGGAGCCATTTTTTGGAAAAAACCATGGGCTATAGCCTTGGTATTTTTCAAAAATTGACCTATTTCTTAAAATGGCCGTAAGTTAAAAATTTGAACTTGGAATCGGCTTAAACTTTCTACACAGCATAAGGACATCAATATGTATGTGCATCCATTCAACATACAAAACACTATCATAACTGTATATTCATTATATTCAGTGTGTGTGTGTGTGTGTGTGTATTATTATATACCATATAGTCCCATGTTCTTTGAGAATGATTGAGCATATGACAGTTGGTGTCCATCACGTACAAACAGCCTAAGAGCTGATGCATCTCTATCAAGATCACCAGTAGAGAATCCTTGATAGGCCATATCCATGAATACGTAATGGTTCTTCTCCTGTTGAGAGATCAGGAATTAATCAATGAGTGGGTGGAATAAAAAAATCAAAATCAAAATAAAGATGTCAACCATATAAATAATTTTTGACTTTGTGCATCATTTAAAAACTATTAAATCCACAAAAATAAAAGCCAACTAAAATCTCAGTACACATTTTATTACATGTACATTGTAGTCTCCTCTAACTTAAAAAGCAAACTCTCTCTGTTTCTTATTTACAACTTATGCTCTCTCTCTCTCATCTCTTATTCTCACCTTACATATCTTTGATAACTGGGACCATTCATCTAACTACAGAAGACAACAACAAAAATAAATAATAAAAACAACAACAATAATAATAATAATATTAATGATAACATTAATAATCATAACTCACCGTAGGATCAATCCCAGTTGGATTGTGACCGCAAGCATGAAACAAGATAAGAGAGTTATCAGGTATTTTCTAAACAATAAACATAATGATATTCATGAGGTCATGTGACTGTCATGTGATAGTGTATTGGTCTACCCTCAGGTCTTCATAACAAGCTTCAGAGTCAAACCCACAGGTCTCAGGCTTGAAATGACGATAAGTCTCAACATTCAAACCAGAACTCCTAATGGAGGGGGAGAGAGGGAGAGAGGGAGAGAAAGAGAGAGAGAGGGAGAGAGGGAGAAAGGGAGACAGACAGGCAGAGAGACAGACAGAGAGAGGGAAGCCACACATATAAGGATGTACATGTACATATAGCATTATTATCAATTATATCAATGGCTATCATTAATCTCAATAGCTATTAAAAGTTATTAATAGTTATTAACCTGAACACTGGTGCGTGATTGCCCCAGGTAGGTGCTGGTACATATATAGTCTTCTGATGGGGAAAGAACTTTGCCTAATAATAAAATAAATAAATAATAAATAACTGTATTATTATTACATGTTAATATTCAGCTTACAAGGAATAAAGCAATGATCCTCAATGCTCCAGTACCACCAATGGCTTGAGCTGACACATACTAAAGAGAAGGAAAAAGAGAATATAATGATACATACATGTATAATATATACCGTATAGGGGTTATGTTTCACTGGAAACAAATTTTGCTTATTTCTCGTTTTTATTAAATTTACAAAATCAAATTCCACAAAAAAGGTTGGCATGCTAGGAAAAATGGCTGCAGAAGGTAAGATTCATAAAAATTTATACCAACAAAAGGCAAATCTGAACAAATTCGCGAAATTTTATACCAACAAAATAAAACCCCTATACATTTTTTCATTTATTATATTTTTTTATTTTGCAACTGAGATTATTTATTATTATGATGGTGATGGTATTGACTGTCTATATGTGTAGTTTACTGATACAAGTTACCATATAGTGGATAATTTTGGAGGGGATTAAATTTGGTGAATTTGACATTTTGATAGCCATTTGCCAAAATAAAAATCCGCCATTTTGAGCGATTATACGCATGCTCAATGGCACGTGGCCACAAATTCGCCAAAATTAAAATCCGCCAATTACCAAAATTTAGCAATTCACCAAAATACGGTAGCTTTTTATGACAACAGGTTGGAGAGAATAACTGAAGGGGGTGGAGCTAAGACTGAGCCCCTTTTCCTCAGGAATAGCTATGCTAATCATTAAACATTCTGTCTACTTTAATAATAGAGGCCTTGGGACTGTAATGTCCCTCCAAAAATTGAAATAGATTTTCTTCTATAACATGTATCACTTGAACTTCCTTCAACAGTTCAAGCATTAAATAGCCAATAAACCTTACAATAGCATTGTGGGTTGCAAGCCACACTTCCTGTCTGGTTATATAATAATTAATTATAAAGTTATAAAATAATAGAGCAGCTACATGTAAAGTATAACCTCCTCCTATTGTGGACACTCTAAAATAAGGACACCTCTATAATGAGGAGGGGTAGTATCAGTCCCAATACAATAGTAATGTGCATTAATGAACCTCTGAAATAAGGACAGGTTCATAATCAGGAGCTAGAGTATTTTTTTACTTTATACTGTGTATTTACGGTTAATTATTGACAAAAAGTGCATTTATACATGATATAAAACATGTAGTTATACATGCATTTACCAGATTCTCTTTGACGTGTTTTTCTTGAGGTGTCAGTGCAAATTCAATGGCAGCTCTGTGGAAGGAAGGATACCCCAGGATACCAGCATACTCCTTCTCTTTGTATTTATCTAAATTGTCCCTCTCAATCTATAAAAATTAATAATAAAATATGAAAATGTATTTTCTGATACATATTGATGTTCTTATGCTGTGTAGAAAGTTTGAGCCAATTCCGAGCTCAAATTTTCAAGTCACAGCCATTTTAAGAAATTGACTAAAATCTGAAAAATATCCAAGGCTATAGCCCATGTTTTTTTTCAAAAAATGGCTCCAAAATCACCTCAAATTTTCACTATATTTTCTGATGCATATTGATGCCCTTATGCTGTGTAGAAAGTTTGAGCTAATTCTGACTTCAATTTTTAAAGTTACGGCCATTTTAAAAAAAGTTTTCCAATACATAATAATAATCCAATTATCCTAGCTAACACAGTGTGTGTGTATATACATGTGTCCATGCTGCCACTAACTTGTTTGACTACATTCAGTACATATGGCTTTCCCTGGTCATCCCTGTACGCCCCCACAGTCAAATTAACTTTGTTCGTCCTCTCGTCTTTATTGTACGCCTCCAGGAGGCCGAATATTGGATCAGGGGGGCCCACCTCAACCCCAGACCACCAAGAACTGAAAAATGCAAGAGTAAATATGATAATAAATTAGGTAATTAACTATTAATTTATAACTAGCCGTACCCCAAATGTACATCAATGCAATGCATAGTACATAAATTAATTGAAAAATAATAATACTATATGCAATAAAGAATATAAAAATACACATGAAATACTTAAGTACTACTTGAACTATTGCTTGCAGTATTGAGTGCTTTTATTCATATACTAGTACACGCGCAATAGAAACTGATACAGGCACAGGTACTAGCTAGTATTACCTAGCTCTGACTACAGCCGCTCGAGTTGGGAAGGAGAGAAAACTCCGCAAAGAGGTTCTTAGCATCGCCATGCTACAACAAGGAGTCTGAAGGAGGAGAAACAATAATAGGGCGTGGCTGGTTAGAGGTAGGCGTGGCTCAATTTAATTAGCCACGCCTTTTAAAATGTCTTCCGAGTGAGTAAAAATAAATTAATGATTTATTTATTGTGTTTTGTTGTTTGCTAGTTATCAGAATGAGAAGAAGAAGAGAGAGTTACAGAAGAAAAATCAAATAAATCAAAAGTTTGAAGAGACTGGAGAGAAGGAAAGGTCTGTAATAAAAATAATTATGTATATAAATAAACACTTTATTTTTATTGTTGTTGTTGTTTTTAGGTTAAAGGAGTTGTTAAGGATGAGGTTAAGAGAGTCAGGATGGAGAGACAAACTGAGAGAACACGGAAAAGGTACCTGTACATTTTATTAATGATGTGTAATAATAATAATGAAGGATTTATCTCTGATATAACAGTTGTGAGTAAAAAGTACATACTGCTGTTTTCATTGCTAGTTATTATTGATAAGAGAGGGTTAAATAATGTCACTGTTGATAGTCTAGTAGAAGAAATGACTCCTAAAGCAAGAGGTAAGTCAATATTAATTGATTAATCAATTAGTTAATATTATGAATATTGTTATACAGAATTGGTACCAGATTATGTAAAGAAAGAGCTCCTTCAACACATCAGGGAATACATTGAGAAGAATATGTGACATCAAATGACATCATCATTTATAAATAGTACAATAATAATGACATCATTATTTAAAATATTATTGTTATTATTTGTTAGATCTAAGATTTGTGATTTTGAAAATAATTTTTAAAGGCTTGCACTGACTTGTGCCAACTCCAAAATAATAATACATCATGAATATTGGGTGATCTTAGGAACCTCCTCTAGGCCTCCACCTGGTCGGGTGGAGTTACAATTTGCTAATAGCCACTTGATTATTTTATAATTTATAGTTACACGGCCAAGAGTTAGCATACGACACACTGGGGTCACTGCCCAAAATCAATGACTCAAGCCTGTGCCTGATATAGTCTGATAGGTATCATTGCTGAGTCATGCGTGTTGCATTGTTGCTCTGGCTGAACCAGTACAAATTCCAAAATGATTGTATGATTTATATCAAGGCTGATAGATCAAGCTAGGCTCATTGGCTGATTGACATGTTCATAGTTCAGGAAGTGAGGAATCCAAACATCCCGTACAACATTTGAGCCTGTGTCTCGGACCCAGGGGGATGGGTCTGGCTACGCGAGACTACCCGTCGTGGTACCATAGATACTATCTATGATACTATATACCCCTGGATACGAAACTCCTCTATGCACACATATAAAATCCCATAAGGAAACGTCATAAACGTCACATCCGGCTGTCCTCACCCTTGTTTCGCTGCATTCATGGCTGCCAGGGTAAGTAAAACAATCACAGTAGCCTATTCGTTTGTTAAAGTAGCTGAATGATCCCTCAGAGGACTTTGCAAAGCCTTTATATATTGAAATAATGCTCATAAACGATAGTTTGAGTGCATATTTTAGTTCTACAATGGATGTCATAGCCTAGTTGTTGTGTACATTTCACTCAAGCCACTTTTTTTAGCTTAACTCTGTTGAATTAGGCCAACATTTTTTATTGTACTGATAGGTTATTGTTTACTAGTTGTAGTGGGGCTATTATTTAGAATTTGTGTTAAGTAAAAGAGCTGTTATTTTCTAAATCTTGGTTTTTCAAGCCCCACCTTTCTAGCCAATTTTTCTTTGTAATACTTGACTTAATTGGAACTTTTTTATATGGTTTTGTAGCTTGAGAATAGGTAGTTGTAGTGGGCCTATTCTCAAAAGGAGTGTGTTTTTAGTTTTGGTGCAATTGTGTTGTCAAAATCATCATTTTTAGGTGACAAGAGATGGGAAAGTCATGCATTGGTAGACTGCAATGCTAAAAGAAAAGGAAAGTTTCAGCAATTATAATGCATGATAAATGTCAAGTTTTATTGTATTATTGTACATAAAATCACACTTTTATTAGCAATAATAATACTTTTTATCATTGTTTTATTTTTATTCTGAATGAAAACGTAATATGACGTATTCCGGTGAAACAAGCCTCAGAACATCCGGTCGGGCCGTGTTTCATATCCAGGGGTATATAGTATCTATGGTGGTACTCTCAGTGTGCCGAGACTAGCTTTAGATATGGCATCTAAGGGAGCATTTGAACCTCTGGCAAGAGCTGACAAGATACCTAAAGCCATTCCTGTACTACAAGACAGCGATTGTATAGCAGCTATTGACTTTGGGACATCATCACTATCAGTAGCGTACACTACTCCATTGAATCCAACAACAAGAGAAAATGTAAAAGTGGTGCCACTTCACAAAACTTATGAAAGAGTCCCTAATGCTATACTGATCATGAAAGATCAAGAGGGACAAGATTGCTGGAAAACTTTTGAAATTGGACATCAAGCACAAAGTGCATATAGCAAGATGAAGAAGAAAAGTTCTGAAAATTTCATATATTTTGAACGAATAAAAAACCTACTGAAAAGAGATAAAGTGAGTTCATGGCATAATAGAAGCACAATTGTTATATTAAATAATTATATACCTTCAGTTATTAGATCGTACTACTCAAGTCTCTTCATTCACTGGTGGTTCTTATTATCTTATTGAAGTTATAGCTTTTATACTAACACACCTCAAGGAGAAGCTACTGACTGATGAGCTTAAAAGAAACTACAAGTCGACTGAATTTGATTGGGTCATTACTGTTCCTGCTATATGGAAAGCAAGAGCAAGAAGAATGATGAGAGAAGCTGCTTATATGGTAAGTGTATACAGTATCGTATGTAGCTAAGTGTAAGTGTATGATAAGAGTACATGCTTTGTTTCATGCAGTTTAATTATGTTAATATGATAGGCTGGTCTGACATCTGATGCTCTTGGTATAACAAAGTTCACTCCAGTTGGTTCTCCTTTACCACGTCCAGAGGAGGTTAATCCTGAGAAGCTATCATTAGCTCTAGAACCAGAAGTAGCTGCTATAGCTGCACAGCATTATTCACTAGTATCAGGGTCCCCTCCACAGAGATATATGGTAGTTGATATAGGAGGAGGTACAGTTGATATTACTGTACATGATAAGAGTAATGGGAGAATTAGTGTAGTACAACCACCAATGGGTAACACCTGGGGAGGTACTACTGTCAATGAAGCTTTATCAGCAATACTGGAAGAAATTTTAGATGATAAAGGTTTTGAGTCTTTCATAAAATCAGAATCTAATGCTAAAGCTATTCTCAATAAACTCTTCTATGAAGACTTTGAGGAAGGGAAAAAATCATTTGGAGATGCAAAAGAAGGTAGAGAAGAAATAATAATAAATTTACCTTTGAAATTAATGAATTTTTATTGCAACGACAAGCTTCAAAAGGCAAAGCAAGTGAATATGGATTACGATCCTGAAGATGGTTCATTAAGCATAGGATACAACCTATTAGAAGAGAAGGTATTCAAATCCACAGTTGATAAGATCATAGAGTGTGTGAGGGCAGCATTTGATCAGTTAACGGATCCTATCGATACAGTTTATTTAGTAGGAGGGTTTGGAGGGTGTAGGTTTGTTAGCCGAAAGATAACAGAAGCTATTGGTCAGCATTGTGGTAATATAGTGTGTCCTATACATCCAGATCTTGCTGTTGTAGTAGGAGCAGTAATGTGGAGGAAAGATCCTAATATAATCCAATCACGTGCTGCTGATGCTACCTATGGGACAAGTGTCAATGCTTTATTCAACCCATCAATACATGATGAAGATTATGTGTTTGAGGATGAAGAGGATCATGAAGCATACTGTTCTTGTATATTTAAGGTATTTGTACTCAAAGGAGAAGCGATAAAGGATGAAGTATATAAAGCTACATTCATACCTGGCCGTCAAGAAGACATAGAAACTCGTATCCCTATATACTGTACAACAGATGATGGAGTTCAGTATGTCAGAGATAAAGAAGGTAAACTAACAGTACGTGAGATTGGCCAGCTAGTACTTGATATTCCTAATTATGGTAATCTACCAAGGGAGGAGAGAGAATACGACGTATTCATGGATTTCAGTGGTACAGAGATACAAGCAAGAGCTCAGTATAGTATCACTGGAGAAGAAGTGAAAACAGTTTGTGACTTTCTATCAAAACAAGACTAATAACACTAATGATAATTGTAGTAACAAAAATTCTACATAGATTTATATAATACTATAGAGTTACATGCAATCATGTTAGTTTTACTTTGATAACAACACTAATTTACTTAAGCTATCAACTAGATGAATCAGATAATATTAGAATGTATGTACATGTGTATCTGGATCTAGTATACCATAGTGTCAGAAATACAAATTTAAAGTGGCAGGAAATCGAATAATAATTGTGGTTGAGGAAGGTTGGTTTATAAATGATAATTATTTTTTATATAACTCAGGCAACCTTAGGCAGCTGCAGGCCAGACTTCTGCAGCCGCCTAAGTAGGCAACTTACATGTAGTTGCTGTACCTGATCAGGCAACCTGTTAAATGAGTAAATATCTATGGACTCAACCAGTGATGTTGAGATCCAAAATTTAAGTTTGTCACAACAGTGCAGGTAAATAATGGAGACTCCAACCTTTTTAAATCATAATACTTATACTAGTAGGCAATCCAACAAGTTGGCAAGAATGAACATTTTTCTATCCTTGCTTACAAGATCAGACTAACCACAAAAAATGTTCAAGTTGCCTCCTTTTTGGGAACTGATTTTGTTAAACCAAAACCACATACTCTATAATAACATACTGTAACTGTAAATAAAATAATATTATAAACAACACAATGACAAACATTATGTACACAGGTATCTTATAAAATAAATATCATAAATTAAAACAATCATAATAAAAAGGCACAATGAGAATGATAAGCTAGCAGGAGAGGAAGTGTGTATTATGCATTTACATAATACATATAGCTATACCAAAACTTTTGTAACTGTAACATTCCTTAATTGACAATTCTGTTTGACATAAACAGTGTCTTTCTTCGTAACTTATACAAATCACATCATAATACTATTATAAAACAATAATAATGACATTATTATGATGTAATGAAAAAACAAAAAATTATTATTATTATTAATATGATGAGAAGCAATAGAATAAAAGAGAGAGAATTCTATTAATATTAATTAATAATAAAAATGATTGTTTTATAATTTATACAAGTGACCACACCCCAAGACATTTATCCTTTCCTCCAGTCACAACGATATTGTCATTCAAAGAAACGTCAATACTCGTAATAGCATCTGAAAATAATAATAAAACAAAGTTACTATTGTACATGTACCTGTGTGATTTTTAATGGTTGATATAATGTTGAGTGTATTAGAGTCCAATAAAGATAATGACCCGTTCATACCACCTGCTAATAACTGGGACTGTAACCATACTACACAACTGGAGGGAAGAGAGAGAGAGAGGAGGAGAAAGAAAAAAAGAAAGAGAAGATGTGATGCAATGAAGAGAAGAGAGAAGGAGAGAGAGAGAAAAGATGTACATGGGTAGAGGAGATATTATGGTGTAGAGGTATTAGAGAGAAGAAGGGGAGAAGTGATGAGAGAGAGAGAGGAGTAGTGAGTGATGTTATTATTACCAGTAGGCTTCTTCTCTCTTCACAGCAATTGATTCTGATCTTTCTTTAACTGAGAATAACTTAATAAAACCATCAGCACCAGTAGTACAAATACTAGAGCCATCTGAAGGAGAGAGGGGAAGAGAGAGAGAGAGGAAGAATAAAATTGAATGTATGTACTGGTACAATGTACATTCATTCTACAAGTGAAATCATTATCATTTATACTAGACACTTACCAGGACTAAAGGTCACTGATGATACATCATTATCGTGAGCTGTTTATAAAATAAATAAATAAATAAATATACCTTTAAAAGAATTAACAATAAATGTGTACCTTTAAATTCGAATTCTTTTGCTTCATGTTCAATATCCCAAACAGCTAAATACCCTAATGAATGAATGGAAAGAGAGAGGGAGAGAGATGGTAAAGATGTTATATTGATATATTTACCATCAGATACTCCTGAAGCTACTAGAGTGACATCATTATTAATATCAAGTGATGTAACCTAAAAATAGAACATGTTACTAATAATAGACACAGCAATGACATCACTCAAACAATACAAAAAATCTAAAATAGAAACAGCTGTATGTTACTATAAATAGACACAGATGTATGTTACTAAAAATAGGCACACCATACCTCATTATCGTGATCCAACT